AGAGAGAGAGAGAGAGAGAGAGAGAGAGAAAGAGAGAGAGAGACAGAGACAGAGATAGAGATAGAGAGAGAGAGACAGAGAGACAGAGAGATCACGTTCAGGTGCACAAGCAGGCCACATCCACAGGCCAGGGCACACTCAAGCTCACTGATGCAGATATGTACAAGCACGGTGGCAGAAAACTAAGCAACCTCAGTTAATGCACATTGGGGAAACTGAGGCTCACTGGTCTCTCATGCCCAAAGGCACAAAACTCACTTCCTCTCTCCATGTCACATGTGGGTCTGACTGCACCAGAGACCTGGGCCTGCTCCCCCAAATCTCTCTCCTTACTCCCTTAGCCAGAAGTAGGCACAATGAGGATGATTCCTGGGACTCAGACGGGATGTAAGGCAAGGGAAATCTCAGGGATGGCTCAGCTCCCTCACACCAAGCCCAAGAAGGGATGGCGACTGGCCCTTGGTCACCAGGGAGGGACCAAAGAACCAAGGCCCCTGGCTGTGATCTGGGACCTCTTGCCACCACTGTGTTTGTTCTAGACACTGCCTCTGGGGCTGCCTGCCCTGCGCTCCGGGACCTGCATACAGACTGTGCTTGGGGCCAGGGAGGGTGTAGGACGGGGACACATGGAGCTCTGCCTGGGTCCTGCTCCTTCTCCTGCTGACCCAGCACCACTGTGGTGGGCACTGTGACCAGCTCACAATGATGGTCATCACCAGGCCACAGCATGCTACTGGGACTAGGCCTCCAACTCAGGCCAGCAAGCACTGTTGAGCCCCCAAATTCCTAGACAATGTCATGAAGCGCATACCCAGGATGATGGCCCAGAAAGACTTTCTGAAAGACAGGGACGGAGCCAAGCCTCCCCTGCCCAGAGCTGTGCTTCCCAAGCACCCACAGGACCCCAGCCAGGACTCCCAGCCTGAAAGAGCAGCAGAACTGGCCCTAACCCTGCCTGGGTACTGCCCCCAACACGGGACCGGCGCATAGACCAGCCCTGCCCCAGAATCCCTTCTGTGGGTCCCCGTCACCCCAAAGATCATGGACTCCATTCAGCACATAGTGTAAGGGTCACTGTCCACATTCCTTACAGTGCTAACCCAGGCCGGCGCTCACTGCCTACTCTGACACTCTGCCTCCGTCTGAAAAAAAAATAACCACAGTACCAGGAGCAGGCTTCAGACTTTCAGCCCAGCATTGAGATTCACCCTTGCCTGGTCCTCCCTGGCCCCCAACATGCCTGTCCCTGGACCTAGTCCAGAGTCCCTGCCACCCTGGTCCACTCTCCCCTCTGTCCCCCGAGTCTGTGGTGACCGTAAGAGCCCGTACTGACCATAAGAGCAGCCTCCTGCCTCTGCCTACCAGCACCCCCCACTACCACCATTCCTGCACCCCGCTACCCTGGCTGCCTCCTCCAGCCCCAGCACACTCCCAAGGGCTCTTTTTCCTCTTCTTTCCTCTAGCCATGAGTGTTTCTTTGCTGCTCCCTCCCTCGGGTCTCCCCACCCTGAACAATCCTCCCAGGTGACCTCACCACTTGCTCTGATGGTTTCTAAAGCTCCAAAATCCTCTCTCCCCTGATCCTTGGGTACAGCCACATGGAAACCTTCGATACCAGAGGTCACTGTGTGTAAATCTAAACTCACTGCCCCTGCAGAGTCAGAGTGGTGACACTGCTGCCCCCACAGAGGTCCCCAGATTGCCACACTCCTCCTCAAGGAGCCTTCAGGCAGCTCCCACCCTAGGCATGGCTTGAGGCCATGCACAAAAGCACTGGCCCAGGCTATTGTCCTGTGCCACCTCCAGGCCCTTGTACATAGGTCCCCTTGGCCCAGGGGCCTTTATCCTAAGACTACTCAGAAGCTTGGGGGTACTTCCTTTGAGAAGACCCCCTTAAAGTCCAAGCATGGTTTGGGACCTTAATTAACCCTATCTCCTTCCATCACAGTTGTGACTGTCAGGTTTCCAGGTGGCAGAGGCCACACATGTGGGGTGTCCCAGGCCAATCTATCAGGACTCAGGTATCAGAGCAGGAAGTGGGGTGCAAGCCCAGACTTACCTGTCTCTGTGGGCCTGTGGGGTCTGACTCTCTCCGCCGAGGGCGAGGTCCCGAGTGCAGGGGTGAGTGGGAAGGGCTGCCGGGCGTTGGGGGCTGCGACATCTCTGATCGGCCATCAGCCTGGCTCAGCTGGGGTAGTGGGGACTGAGGCGGCATCTGCCGCAGGTCCTCCTCGGCCAGTGTGTGCATGCCCCGTCCCCGGGGGCGTACGGCAGGCTCTGTCCCTGGCCGCCGCCGCTCTTCACCCTCCTCGGGCAGAGGCCGCAGCTCCTCAGGCTCCTCATCTGTGGTCCCTGATGTGCTGGGCTCAGCCCCTGGGGGGAAGTCCTTGAGCTCTGTCTCCTTATCGATGATGACCCACTCCTTGCTGTCAAAGTCCTCCTCCTCAGCCAGCGGCACTGAGCGGAAGGCGTTGCTCAGGGCCTCCTGCTCCACGGAGGCAGAGACGTCCATGCGGCCGCTGGCCTGCCGGTCGGCGTGGCCCGTATCCACTGACAGCATCTGAGCTGGCTGCGAGGAGCAGGCCTGGCGCGAGGGCGAGCCAGGCAGATCCATTCGCGACCTGCAAAGCCACTGAGAGGGTCAGTGTCAGCCTCTCTGAGACCCTGGGACCATAGCACCTCTGCCACCCTGCGCCAGGCCCAGCCACATCCTACACTGGCACCTTGCAACCTTGCTTCCTTGAAAGGCTTCATTTGTTCATTTGTCCATTCATTCATTCATTCATTCATTCATTCATTCAGCAAATGATTCTGACTGCTCAGTGTGCTGCAGAATAGGAATGTGCAGAAAACAAACTCTTCCTCTTGTGCCCCAGGAACACTGGCTCTCCCCTGGCAACCCCAGGGACCTAATTTGCCTGAAGTCAGCTGCCCTTGGCTGCATCCAGGGCAAACATTGCCTCCCCAGGAGTCCCTGGCTTGGTGAACTCCTCGCTCCAAGAACACAGCCTGCATCCCTCAGTCTGACATCCAAGGCACCTCCCGACCTGACAAAGCCTGTTTTTCCATTTCCCAAATGAAAACAGCTTCAGAGTCCTTCAGTTTCCTAACTGTCTGTTCTTTCACACTTCGCAGCCTTAATGCACTGCACACACACAGTGCGTCCCTCTGTCCCCTGCTGTCTGCCTGGCTCCAATGCATGGCCTGCAGGGGGCAACAGTGGACCTTATTTATATCTGTTTCCTGTCTGTGTCCCCAAGAGGCCAAGAGCTCTGTGGTGGGGATGGGCTCCCCCCAGCCTTCCCCTGGGAGGCCCCGGTCCTGCCTCGGACATCTCTCTTCTCTTTATCTCAGGGCTGTTGGGAATCTTACTGCCTCCGGTGAGACCAGCCCCAAGGTGAGAATTCGTTTGCTTGTAGGGAGGGTTTGGCAGAAAGAACCATTATCTGTCGAACATCAGGGCACACCAAAAACTAAGCTCTGGGATGTGGACCATGCAGACGTGTATGCTGTGCTCTAAGACCCTGAACCTGCAGAATTCTCCGCTTCTCACTCTCCCGGAAGCTTGTGACCCAAGCCAGCCTGATCAGGGCTCCCTCGGAGGGCAGTCCTCCCTTCCTTAGGAACCACCCCGCGTCTGCCCTTCCTCTTCTCTGAGGGGATCCAGACCCTCCACACCAGGGGCTCCAGGATACATGGTGCTGATATAGTGCTGGTTAGGTCAGCGGGGTAAGCAAGGACTGTCACCTATGTAGGCCAGTCTTGGGGGTGTCCACACTCCACAGAGGTACCAAGACCCAAGTTGGAGGGGAAGTACAGTTTGGGGCAGAGTCTGGGGAGCCATGCTGAGGTAGGTCAGAAAGAAAGATGATAATTGGGAACCTAAAGATCCCCCTTTCACCCCAGGCTGGGCCTGGGCAAAGACATTCCCAGGAAAGACTTGGACCCTAGCCTGCTGGGGGTAAAGTACTATCAGGGGCCAAGGAAGGTGAGGACATCTTCTAGGTGCCATTCTACCTGGTGCCTCCTGCACCAACAGCTCAGGAGGGCCTCTGCCTGGCCCTTCCCCCAGCCAGCCTCTCCCTCTCCCAAAGGCACACCTCACCCCCACTGTCCAACCCCCTCCCCCTCTCTGCCCTCAGACCCCCCTAGCCCCAATTCCCAAATGCACCATCCTCTCCTCCCACAGTTCCCTTCCCAGGCACCCACCTCCACTGCTCTCAGGATCCATAATTAGTGACTAGGAAGAGTCCTGGTAGCACCCAACCCCCAGACCCCCATCTCCTGGGCCAGGAGACCTGGTCTTCCTCCCCCAAGCCCTGCCCTGCAGAGCTGGGACCCCTTCCTCAGGCCATCACTGACACCTACCCCAGGCTAAGCAGGACCCTACAGCACATCCCAGCAGCTCCACATCTCTGCCTTATGACAGCAAAGGGGACCGTGGGAGCCCTGACCCCTACACACACACCCTTGCCTCCACACCCACCTCCTCTCGTGCAGCTCTACTCGCCCATCGGCTGTGGACAGCCTCTCCGACTCAGGGCTGTTGACCCTCCGGTAGCGCAGAGAACGCACTGGGGTCGTCGGGGAATCTGGGGGTGCACGCACCGGGGAGCTGGGGACCCCCACGCCTCGGCTCTGCTCCTCCTCCACACAGGGGGTCTGCAGGAGGGGTGCCATGGGTCAGGGGGTTGCTCAGAGACCACTGACTAGGAGAAGGTGCCTGGGAGGAATGGGCTGGGGCCGAGGGCTGGGATTCGGGAGGGGAGGCCTGAGCCCTTCTCCCTGGCTCACTTTGCCGATGTTGATCCGGAGTTTGTTGCGGTTGACATCGGTTTCCTCCCAGACTTCAGCCTCAGGACCTCCGGGGTGGGGGGCAAGGTGGGGGCCAGGGCCCAGCCCTTCAGAGGGCCTCCCGGGCAGGATGGGGGGTGCATTCTCCTGGTCACTCAGGTGCTCTCCCTGGAGCACATCCTCTGTGTTCTCCCGCAGCAGGTCTCCAGGCACAGGCGTCACGTTGACCACTCTGGAGAGGCCAGGTGGGGATTAAAAGCGAGCTGGCTGGGGTCCCCAACTCCCAAAGCACCTCCCACAAGAACAGCCTCTAGAGGCCACCTGAGTGGGCACAGAGAAGGCTGCTCAGCATGGGATGCAGCATTCTCGGCCCAGCACTGGACCCCTCTGAGACCAGCCACCTCTCAGCCTAGCTCTACTCCCTCAGAAGACCTCATGCCTTTCCAGGAGCTGGCAGGTTCCCAGTGGCATCAGCACCCGGGTCTGAGTCTAAAAGGAAGAACCACTCTGGGCTCGCTAAGCAACCTCTTTACAGGCCTGGGCACCACAGCAAGTCCTGGGAGCCTCCCTCTTAGATGTAGCCCCAGACTGGGGGAGAGCCCCAGGCAGCCTTGGTCTCAGTGCTTGTCACAGGGGTCTACAGTTCTGACCGGCAGTCACTGGCATTCTGCACTCAGCAGAAGCACCTGGGGCTTGGGGCATTCGCTCCTTGCTCCTAAGCGAGGGTCACAAGCTCCAAATGAGAAGCTCACCCACCTTGAGTGCAGCAGAACCATTCAAGCTCCAGAACCCTGCTGTCAAGTGCCTAGTGAGGCAGAGACAGCCCCCCTAGTCTCCCCAAGACTCACCCAAACATGGCTGCGGTCTGCCGGGTGTTCTGCTGTGGTGGGGTGGAGGTGCTTGTGGACAGGAGGGTGTCAGTGCCTGCCTTCTCCCAGTCGAAGGCCTCGTTCTCAGCAATGCCGCGCTCCTTCATGCTGTTCTCAAATACCGACATGATCAACTGCAGGGGCGGGGTGGGGGAGGACAGAGAGGTGACCCCGGGGCTGGCCAGGTACAATGGGGAGCTGCAGGGACTGCAGGGGGAAGGGAAGAGAGGAGCTTTCTGGGATAGGGCATTGGAAGAAGGGCACATTGATTTTAAATGAAAACATGCACAGGATATGCAAATCAGCATGCAAATAAACACCTTGGATTAAGCCCCACCCACTGGACTCAGGTCCTCTGAGATCTGTCCCCCATCACTATCCTCAAACTCCTTTGTCATTTCCGCCAACGCAGCAGAACCTCTGGAGTTTTCCTGTGGGAGGCAACCCTGGAAGGCAGCCTCCTCTCTTGACGCCCCATCATCCAGCTTTTCTCCCCTCACTGTGCTATGCTTTCCTCCTATTCTACCTCCTCAGCGCACTTAGGGCCCAGCCTGAGAGGTGAATGAAGCCGATTGGCCTGAGGGACCCCAAAAGGTGTCTCTGCTAACAAGTGGGGCTCTGGGTCCAGGAGGCAGCAGGCAGCTACAGACCCTTCAGGGCCCCTAGAACTTCCCCCATCTGGCCTGGCTCTGCTATCTGGACCCCACCCTTCTCAAGCACCTACTGTGTGCATGACTCTTCTGTGCCCTTACTGTGTGCAGACCATGTTGGTCCACAGTGGATCTCCAGGAGGAAAAGGCTGGCCAGTCCCCTGTACCCAGTCAGGGTCACTGGGTCCCCCAGGGCACAGCATGCATGGATGGCTGTGATCGCCTAAGAAGAGTGTGGAGGCAAAAGATTCCTGTTGCTGGGTCACCCCCTAAATATATTAAGGAGGTGGGGTGACACGTACTGCCACCACTGTTGCTGCTGCTGCTGCTACTACTGCTGCTGCTGCTGCTGCTGCTGCTGCGGGGAAACCTACTGTACTGTCAGTCAGGGAAGAACACAGCACCCACCATCTAGGCAGTGTGCATCTCAGTATAAAGACATCTACTGCAGTAACAGTGTGCTGGGTTACGGAGCCCTCACACCGCTCCTTCCTGCGTTTTCTCCTGCTTGCATCATTTCCTCTGCTTGGTTTACTCTTTTCGGGGCATCGTGGCTCTAGGAGCCGTGTGCCATAACATGCGACACACGTGCTACAGTGCACGCAAACGCAGGGGGCTCAGGCGGGCAGCAGCCAGTCCTTCTTGAATACATGTGACTGTGCCCTGTGAGGGTCACACAGGTGACTTAAACGTCATTAAGTGATGCATGAATATATGTGAGTCCATCCCTGCTCTTTTTTTTTTTTTTTTTTTTTTGGCGGAACCAGGGATTGAACTCAGGCCCTTGCACTTGCCAGGCAAGTGCTTATTCTACTGAGCCATTTCCTCAGCCCCTCAGCCCTGTTCTTAATCATATCACACCTTGGTTACCCCATCTATGAAATAAGAACAATCACCCCACTTGGTACCCTTGCAGGATTCTGGTATAAAGGATGTGAATGCATTTGACTTTGGGAATTTTGTTTATTGATTTTTTTTTTTTTTTAATTTTGAGACAGAGTCTCACTACATAGCCCAGGCTGGCCTAGAACTTGTAATCTTCCTGCCTCAGCCTCCAGAACGCTAGGACTATAGTCCTGTTCCCTCATCCCTGGTATGGCTTCAGGAATTAAGCACTGGAATGACAATACAGGGCACACTCAGTATCATCAAAGGTTTTTTTTTTTTTAAGTTTGAATGAGTTAATTTGAGAAATGCACTGAGAACAGGATCAATTGTTGATAAATCTTAACTAGGGCTCCCATTTAAAAGGTCACAGAAGCCTAGGCACGGTAACAACGCCTATCGTCCCAGCACTTGGGAAGCTAAGGTGGGAGGATCACCAGGAGATGGAGGCCAGACTATGCTACACAGTAAGTTCAAGGCCAACCTGAACTACATAAGAGTCCCTGTCTCAAAAAAAGCAAAAACAAACAGACAGAAAAGATCACAGAAGAATCTGGGGGAGCTGGAATATGGGTAGAAGCTGGGCATTGTGGCACACACCTTTAATCCCAGCACTCTGGGAAGCTGAGGCAGGAAGGCAAGTTCAAGCCCAGCCTGGGCAATTTAGCAATTTAGCAAAACCCTGTCTCAAAATAACACTTAAGAAAATGAGAGCGACTGTGGATATAGCTCAGTGTGAAGGCCTTTGACTCAATCCTCAGAACCACAGAAGAAGAAAAAAATGAAGACGGGGGATTTCTTAGGCAGGAGCAGGCACCACGGGTGGCATGCAGGCTCCCACCTGGTAGTCGGGCTTGGTGAAGTAGTCGAGGCTGGCAATGTGGTCCAGGAAGAGGTGGAACTCTGAAGGCATGTGCTTCAGCAGCATCCGGTGCTCATATTTCTCCTTGATCATCCCCACCTGCTCCTGCAGGCAGAGGGGACAGTGCAGCCCAGCCACCCTACCCTCTGCCTCCCTGGCCCATGGGGAAGGAAGGGCCTCACCTTATCCTTGATCTTCCTCCAGGGCAGCTGGCCCACTGCAAACTCCACCAGCATGTAGAAGAGGGACCACAGGTCATCGTGGCGGCCCATCTCCTGGGGGTGAGGGAGGAACGCCCATCAGGGAGGCCTGGTACCCAGTCTTTAGTGGCAAAACTGGGGTCTCCCTGAGGTCTCAGCTCTATCTCTGACCCTCAAAAGTTTTGACTCCTGTACTCAAAATGTCTCTGTGCTTTGGCCGTATAGTGACTGCCCAGGAGAACAAAGAAGAGGCCAAAGAGAGCCGCTTTCCCTCCTACAGCAAGACCAGCAGCACGCCCCACCCTGACCTCACCCACTCTGCCCATCTAGTCCTTCACTAAGACTTTGCCACTTACCCGGTTCTTGTGGGCATTGACCGAGGCATAGCGTACAGTTCCCCGAAACCCGGCCACGTTCCGAGGCTGCAAAAGAGAGACACCACCAAGCACATCACCTGCTGTGCCTGACCTCAGCCGTGCCTTGGCCCTGTTACCAAGTGCAGCTCTGCCCTCTGATGCCCGGGCCTATGTCTGCTCCCTGCCCACCATGGGCTGAAAGAAGGACCCAGCTGTGGATGTAGCTCTGACAAAAACCCAGGCTGGGAGAGAGGGACCAGGGTCAGGGGACCCCGGAGTGGGGTGCCTTTACTGAAGACAAGGCCAGACCCACTTAGACAGCTGTGAGAGAAGCTGGGCACAGTGCTACCTCAGGTCTGCAGAGGTACTTACGGGCCGGACATCCCCCGTGGTGTTGGTGTACTGCCGGGCCAGCCCGAAGTCCAGCATGTAGCACTTCCTGTAGGTGGAGGGCAGCCTGCCCATGGCGAAGTTCGACTGGGGGGACAGTGGCTGTGAGCCCTTCCCAGGTTCAAAGAGTGCCCAGGTAGGGGTGAGGGCTGCAGAAGGAACCTTGGAAAGGCACAGAGGGACAGGCAGGGGTGTGCTAGGGGACATCAGGGAGAGGAGGGCCAGGTGGGGCGTGCTCACTCACTCACCGGCTTGATGTCTCGGTGCAGGAAGCCCACTGAGTGGATGGCCTCAATGGACTCCAGGATCTGCTTGCCCAGACGCAAGGTCGTGCTCAGTGTGAAGGTGCCCCGCGGCTGGCTGCGGCGCAGGTCGGCCAGGTTCCGTCCCTGGGAGCGGATGGCAGGCGTCCCACATGCTACAACACCGGCCCTGCCCCAGGTGTGTGCCCATCCCTGCCCCTGCCATCCTGGCAACTGCAGGCTCTGGTCTTCCCTACCCCCACCCCAGCCCACCCAGCTTGAGGGGACAGAAAGGAGGCCAGAGGGGACCCACCTGCAGCTGCATCACCACATAGTTGAACTTCTCATTCCTGCCACAGCCGATGAACCTGCACACGTGGTCCTTCCCTGGGGACACAGACGGGGCCTCCCAGAGCCTACTCTTCCCCTCCCCTTCAGCTCCTGGAGCTCTTGGCTGCCCTGGTCCCCAGTTGGGCCAACGTTAGCCCTGCCCCCAGCTCCGCCTGCCCTCAGCCCTGTCATCTTTCTAACAATTAATGACCCATAGCTCCACCTCACTCTGCCCCCACCCACAAGGCCTCTGGCCTCCTGAGCCCCAGGCTCCATCTCTTCCTCTCTCCCATCCCCCATACTATACCTTGGAGCTTTTTGAGCACGGCCACCTCCATCTTGAGGACCTGCTTGGGCTGCTGGGCTGACTCCACTTTCAGGGCCACGTTCTCCCTGGTCAGGAGATCCATGGCCTCGTAGATCTCTCCAAAGCCTCCGCCCCCGATTTTTTTCAGCTATGGAGATGGAGGAGGGGTGCACTCAGGGTTAGGCTAAACCCATCCTCACCCCACCCCCACGAGTGGCATCTTGCTGATTGAGACACAGGGTCCTTGGAGAAGAGGACCCTTGGAAAAGGTCCTTGCTTCACCCCATTGGTGCACCCAGCTGCTTAGGAATGCCCTGTCCTAATGCCTGGCATATGCGCATGTGCACACACACACATGCACAGAAAGGACCAGATGGCAGATGGCAGCAGGAGATACAAGACACCCGTGGCTCTGTGGAGATGTGGAGGCAGCTCTGCTGTGTGAGATTCTAGACATCGGGCTGCCCCGGACCTTTCCTTTCTAAAAGAATGCCACTATCACACTGAGCAGCTCACACCCAGAAATAAAGTAATCTCAGGACCTCTTAGTCCATGGAGAGCCATAATTCTGGGGCTGGTGGTTTCCTGAAATGTGTCACCCAAGGGAAAGAGTAGTTGGAGGGGACTCGGCAAAGGGTGTCCACAGCCATGCCACTGCAGACACTCACATCACTTCCTGGTCCCTCGTCACACATCCAGAACCACAGGGATTTCCTCCCCAGGTGGGGGTAGGGTGGGCAGGAGTGTCAGAGAAGAGTAGAACAGCAATGTGACCCTCTGGGCCTTCTACTTGGCCTCCTCGAAGGAGAAGGAGAGGGGGACTGTGGCAGAGAACTCGCAAGGGCATAGCCACAGTGAGTGATAGGGAGGGATTCGAGCTCACTGCAGCCTGGAGGTCCAGGGGGAGAAGGTCCTGCGCTCTAAGTCTGATTTAAAAAGGGGAGCAGGAGGGGCTGGTGAGATGGCTCAGTGGTCTAAAGCACCTACTTAGAACAAGCTCAGCAAAGCACAGGGATCACGGTTCAATCCCCCAGCACCACATGCCAGCCAGCCCTGCCCCCTGGTGGGCTGAGCTGGCCACACACACACACACACATACACACACACACATAAATAAAAAAAAGGGCTGGTGAGATGGCTCAGTAGTCTAAAGCACCTACTTAGAAGAAGCTAAGGAAAGCACAGGGACCACGGTTCAGTCCCCCAGCACCACATGCCAGCCAGCCCTGCCCCCTGGTGGACTGAGTTGGCCACACACACGCATAAATAAATAAATAAATAATTTTTAAAAAATTGAAATATTCTCAATAAAATCATGGAATAAAAAAAAGGGGGGAGCAGGAGAAGTGCTGAGTTCTAAATCCGCTCTATGGTATGGTGCACACCTGTCATCCCAGCATTGGGGAGGCTGAAGCAGGAGAAGCACAAAGTCAAGCTCAGACAGGTGATCTTTTCTTAAAATAAATAATGAAGGGGCCGGTGAGATAGCTCAGGGGTCCAAAGCACCTGCTTAGGCAGGCACGGGGAGCTCAGTGCAGTGCCAGCCCCACCCTCAGGGCAGGCTGAGCTGGCCAAAAATAAATAATGAAAAGGGGGTAGGGACGGTGCTCGGCGTGAAGGCAGCACTGACGGACCAGGCTGGAGTTCAGTAGGTGGCAATGGCAACTGCGCCAAGGGAGGGGGTAAAGGGAAGATACAGGAGAAAAGCCAAAGGCTGGGTGGGAACACAAAGGTGCCTGTGCCCAGGAAGGAGGAAACAGCCACCAACCAGAGCATCTTTCTAGTGACGATGGGAATTAGCCAGAAGGATTTTGGAGCCAGGAGGAACAGATTCATCTCTAGGAAGATGGTGTCTACCTTTCTCCAAGAGCCCCAGATACCTTCTAGATTCCTGAGCTTTGCTGTTTGGTTTGTTTGTTTGTTTGTTCATTTGTTTGTTTGAGAAAGGGTTTCCCTATGTTGTCCAGGCTGGCCTTGCATGTATGGCAATCCTCCTGCCTCATCTTCCCAAGTGCTGGGATTACAGGTGTGAGCCACCACACCCAGCTCTGAGCTTTGCTGCGAGTAATCACAGGCAAAAGGACCTTCGAAGTTAATCCCGCAGGCACAGGATTCCCCGTTGTGCGCTAGGAGAAACCCAGGCACAGTGGCTTGTGCGGGCTACACTGGCAGTCTCACCTGCACCTAAGCAGTTGAAAGCAGAGCCCATGGAGGGGCAGAATCCAGATGTGGTCAGGGCGGTGACTATACCAGCATTCAAAGTGTGTGTGGAGGTCCAGCCTGCAGCCTCCACGATCCTTGATGGAGACAAGGAACCAAGGCCCCGGGTGACAGAGACACTTCTGACACTATTCCCCAACTTCCAGCGCACTGAGGGGATTTCTCTTCCCATTATTATTATTATTATTATTATTATTATTATTATTATTTTGTACTGGGAATACTGCTGAGCTACATCCTCAGCTCTCTTCCCCTCATTTTAAAATAGAGCCTTTCTCCTTCCTCAGTCCCACCTTGTCCCCTCTTGTCTGTGCTGTCTGCTCCCCAGCACCCTTTCACCCTCCACCTGAGGCTGGGGTTCACTTCTCTGTCGGGCACTGTGATACTGCCAGGGATTCCTAAAAATGCTTTCATTATTTCAAAAGCACAAAAAAGAAAAACAGCCGGATGTGGTGGCACACACCTCTAATCCCAGAATTTGGGAGGTTGCGGCAGGAGGATCCTTCTGAGTTCAGCATCAGCCTGGGCTACAAAGTGAGTTCAAGACCAGCCTGAACTGGATGGGGAGACCCTGTCTCAAAAAGAAAAAAAGAGGGGCCAGGGAGATGGCTCAGTAGAATAAGCGCTTGCCTGGCAAGTGCAAGGTCCTGAGTTCAATCCCTGGCTATCACAAAAAGGAAAGGAAAGGAAAGGAAAAATATGATCTTTTAGGTCAAAGAGAAAAATGTATATATAGTGTAAACAATTTCCTTTTATACTAATGTAGACATAAAATGCAAGTCAATTATGGAAGAAGAGAGTCCCTAGGACCCAGAAAAGTCCCCACCCAGGTCCTCACAGTCCCCAAACAGAGTACCTGCTCACCCCCACCCCCAGCCGGTCTCCAGTCTACCCCTCCTCCCTAACCTGGAGCAGAAACATGACCACAGGGCCAGTGTCACTGGGAAGGAGACTGTGTTTCGGGGCTCAGTTCTGGGGAACCCTTGAGCCTCCACTTTCCTCCTCTGAAAGACGAAGAGAGCTGGACTAGACTTGGTCACTGGGATCCCTTCAGCTATGGTTCTAATCCTTGGATGGGCTGATTTTTGGTGCCTGTGTGACTTGGTAGGGAGACAGACCTGGTCTCACCTAACAGTCAAGGGAACCTGGCAAATTAGCTGATCTCCAGCCTCAGTTTCCACACCTGTGAAATAGGGACAGTAGCAGTTTCTCTCCTAGTTTGTTGAGAAAACCCATGTCAGCACCAGACAACAGTAAAGATCAAAATAAATGCTACACTTTTATTATTGTCTGCTCTTACCATCCTGAAAAGCACCCCCCTAAAGGAGAAGATGTGATTATTTTAAATATTCATCTGGCCCCATTTTTTCCTGATGACAGCTCCTCTCTAAGCAGTTTGTCCTGTTCAGGCCTCTGCCTCCAACCCTCACTGAGAAGGATACCCAACCCCCTGATTTCCCACGGCAGGATCCCAGGGCTGGCAAAACTGGCCTTTTGCTTCCACCAAGTCCCCCTCACCCCACTCCTGCCCCGGCCTCTGGGAGCTCAAAACTCCAGCCTGAATACTCCACAGTGGGTTCTCACCTGCCAGAAGCCGGCTCTGGCGCGCGGGCCGCAGGTCTTAAAGAATCCTCCTCCCTCCCAGCCCTCCTCCTTTCGAGTCTGCAAGGCTGCGCCCCCAGTGTCTGTCCCATTGCTCTTTCTCTGAGGACGTCTCTGTCACACTCCTTCCCTCACTCCGGGAGACCCTGGAATCTCCTTCTCTCCGCGCCCCTCCCCACCTCTGACAACGCCTGCGCCACCTTTGCCTTTTTCCCTAGACCCCAAGGGGACCTGCGCGGCCCGGTGACAGTTGCCATGGAGACCCGCCCGCAGGCAAGCCCCACCCTCGCCTCCAACCCCGCACCCCTGGTGAGCCGAGCCTCCCAACACACTCACACACACACTCACACACACACACACACACACACACACGCCCGCACACACATTCAGCGCAAGCCTGACCTCTGCTGTCTTCAACCTCCCTCCATTCTCGTGCCCTATGGACCCCAATCTCACATTGCTCCCCTAACACAACTGTCCCCTAACACAACTGAGATCGGAGGACACTGCGGCGTTCGAATCCGCGGGAAGAAGGGGAGGAGACGGGGCCGGACTGTCCTCAGGCCTGGTCTCCAAAGCAGCCTCGTCCAGACCCCACGTGGCCCCGCCGCCGACCTCCACCCGCGGGGCGGACTACAGCCCCCATCAGGCCGCGCGGCGGGGCGGGTGCGGGAACGGAGAGCTCTGCACCTGCCGCAGGGCCGGGAGGGAGCACGGGGCGGGGGCGCCCCAAGCCTGGGTCCCCAAACCCCACCTCCGGCCCTGCGGAGAAGCGCGCTCCTCCTGGCCCTTCTCAAGGTCCGGCTGGGACAGCGCCCTGAGGCCCCCTCCCCGCGCACGGCTCTGCTGCGGCTCGGGCCGCGGCGTCCTACCAGGAGTCGCTCCAGTCTGACCTGGCCCGCACGACCCCGCGGGAAGGGGCGACATGGGTGGGGCCCAGGGCGCCGGGAGCGGGCGAGGGTCCGCACGTGCAATCAAAATAAGGACTGGAAGTAGATGCCGAGAGCTGGGGACGCCTCGCGCCTGGGGCACCCGCCCTCCAAGTCTTCACCCCCTCCTCCGAGCTCCGGACACTCACCACCTTCCAGCGGTCCTTGACCACGTAGTTGGCCGGCAGGATGTCGGCCTGCTCCCCTCCCCCACTCATGTTGGTCTCGTCCTTAAGAGCAGCCGCTAGGCACTGCATCCGCCAGCCGGAGGGAGGGGTGTCCGCAGGGCCTGCCCTGGGGGGGCCATCTACCTGGGGGTGGGGAGCAGCAGTGAGGGCTGGGCCAGGACAACGGCACACAGGGAGGGGTCCACCACCTGCGGGATGCTCCTAGGGATGGGGGTCAAATGGGGAAGCAAACTGCACATGGGAGACGTTGGAATCGACAACGCGACACATGTGGAGAAGGAAAGGACAATGGCATGGACACAGGCCAAAGAGACACACGCTAACTCCTGTGGGGCAGACTTGCTAACCAAGGAAGCACACAAGACCGGAACTATGCTTGAGAAGGGGAGACTGGGCTCGAAGGGCCGCGTTGGGGCTCCACACCTCCTGTGCTACAAAATGCCCAAAGAGCTGTGAGTTCCAGGCTTGGTAAAAGGGGTAGACCTACTGACCAGAGGGTGACCCATGGGAGGCCCACAGCAGAGTGATCTGCTGACAGGCATGGCGATGTGACAAGGGAATGCAGTGGTGCTGGACAGCCCCTTGGGGTGCTCAGGGAGGGGTGCATGGCTGGCTGATAGTTCACCCCACCATGGGGCCTAGGAGCCTGAATGGGTGAATACAACGGGGACTCAAGACATGGACCTGGGAAGGAAGACAGCCTATGACCATTCCAGAAGAACAGGGCAGGGTGAACTGGGGACAACAAGCTAGTGGGAGCACCCTAAGAAACAGGAGGAGTGACAGGGAGCCACAGGTCTGAAGAGGGTGGATGGCCACACCTTTCTGTCTGCACAGACAATGGACATCAGGGCGAGTGTAACAGGGACATGTTACCCAGGGAAAATGTGTGCACATGTGTATTGTCTGTGTGTGACTCTGGGCATGTAACCATCTATATAACTGTGTGCTTGTATGTCAGTGTCTGTGTCTATTTGTCTGTGATGTCACATATGTGAGGCAAAGGGCCCAAAGAGATGACTTTCTGAGATCTCTGCCATCTCAGTCCAGGATGGGGCCAGGATCTGCACCCTCCTCTGTCCCCTATACTTTTTACATGCAGGCTGTGGTGCCCTCAGAATGACCCTGGAGAGTCACAAACAGAAAAGAAATGAAAGGAGGTTACTTAGGCTGGGGATTCCTGAAGAGGCAGAAAGAGACTAAAGGTGTCTATGGATGTGGGGAGGACGGGAGCCTGATTTCCCTTGGGATGGGATGATTCACCAGGCCTGGAACTATAGACCCCATCAGGGGACAAGTGGGGTATGAAGGCACATGACATCCTTCAACAGGTCATTGTGTCCCCCCAGGGACATGAAGGGATCTTTGTGGGGAAGGACCTTGGCATCCTTTCTTGAATCGATGAAACTGAACCGTTTCTCCAGTCTGCAGAGCATTCCCTCCTGCCTCATAGGATATGGGGAATCAGGAATTTGGAGGACAGTGAGGGCCGTGGCCAGGGTATTGAAGCAGGGTTCATGGCTCTGGAATGAAGGTGGGGAAATAAGACTGAGGCAGCAGTGGAGCTGGTGGGGAAGGGGGCTTAAGGAGCTGAACTCCGCATGGGTGAAATCCCAGCACCACCAAAAAATTAAAAATAAGAAGAAATTGAACTGGGTAACCTCAGGTTCATCTTGCGGTCCCTTGATGGTGGATTCTGAAGGTGAATGAGGAAACTGGGTCCTGCTCCCATTTTACAGATGAGCAAACCCTAAAAGGAGCAGGTAGGTGGAAAATGAAAGATTTGTCCTTCTCTAGCCACCATCCTTCCCTCTGTCTCTCTCAGAGGACTGCACTGGGTAAGACAAGCTCCAGAAACTCAAGAGTCCATAGCTGCCTCTGTCACCTGGCTGGGTGCTGGAGGCCCGTGGTGGTGCGGCGGGGGCTCGATTATGAATGACTTTCAGGGTGTGTTTACAAGTGTAGGGTTGGTGTGTGTGTGGCACAGGGGAAGACTCAGAGGTGTTTCCCTAGGTGTCTGTGTGTGAAAATAAAGAGTGGTGTGTGTAACTATGCAATATGTGAGCCAAGTGTGCGGGGGACTTCAGCCTCCCAGGAAGGCGAGGTAGTGTCCAGGAGCCAGCCGGGAACAGGTAAGGAGAGGCTGTAGGAGCATGGAGAGGGGAGGACGGGGCAGCAGCGATGGATTAGAGCGCAGGACAGAGGCAGGTGCCAGTTAGCTCGCGATGACAGGTGAGGAAGCCAGGGACCAGGAGAGGGGTTTGTTGAACTGCCAGGGCGAGGAGGGGACGGAGGAAGTGGGACGAGGGAGAGGCTGAGTGGTTTGTCGGGGACACCGGGAGTGGGGCTCGCCCTGAGCCCCCGGCGAGGAGGGCGACCCTGTGGTCCCGGGTGGGTCTGCGTGTGGGGAGGACCAGGCCCCGCTGCGGCCCAGGCGGCCAGGCCCGCATCCCCGTCCTCGCGTTCCCGTGCGGTCCCCGCGTCCCCTCCCGCCCGGGCGGCTACCGCGGGGCTACCCGGAGACGGAGCCGCGTCCCAGTCCGAGGAGTCGCCTG